GTTGCCTTGCATTACAATATATGAAAAAGTTAATTGGTAATAAAACTCAGAGCATTTTAAAAATGAACTGCCACATAAAATTACTGTAGTGCATGAAAGCCTCAATCAGAACTTGTCTGTGCTGTGTGTAGAATCAGTCTCTGCCTCTCATATGAATAGATGTAATCTCAGCAACCAGACACAATAAATACAAGATGAAGGGAATGGCAAGCATAGCAGCAACACAGAAATAATTCCAGAGGCTAGGAATCACAACATGAAAATTATTTCATTATTTCCACTCGTTAATTATTCATGCAGCAGAGATACAGGAAATGGCAGGAGAAAGCTAATGAAAGAGCAAGCAATTGAGAAACACTGATGAAGAGGTTTAGAAGGGTATAGAAGAAAAGTTATGAAAAACAGTGGATAAGAAAAGAAAGGGGTTTAAGGGTAAGGTTTCACATTCAAAAGTAGGGCCAACGTAAGGCATTCCTTCTGCTTCTCCACTGCTCATTATTCCTGGTCTAGCATTGTGGTGTACTGCTTCCTACTTACTAACAGTCACAATCATTTATGAAACTGTACCATGAGTCATCCAAGGCTGAAAAATAACCTGATTAAAAAAAAAAAAAAGGAAAAAAAAGACGTTGACACAACTAAAAGGAAAACGCAGGAGTAGAAATGAGCAGCTGCAACGGAAAAATAGGTCATGCCAACATTTCTCCCAGCAAAAAGGTGCAACCATGGAATTAAAGACCAATGTCTATGTTCAGACCATATAAATACACCTCTCAACTCTGCCTTGTAACTTGTCATGCTACATGCAGAGTAAAACATGTTTGGAGCACATCAGGTAACAAATAGTGAAAAGTTACACAGCAAAAGGTGGCCAAAACACTTGATTAATGTTGGAGAACACATTTTTCAGAAGAAGTGTACACCTTTCACTGAAGAATCCACCGATGCAGGACATTTCCAGTTGCTCTTAGCAACTTTTTTCTCCACTTCATCCTCCAAGTCAAATCTAGGATTCCATGTGTACGATCTACAGTCTATTGCTCAGGTGTATAACATATAAGAAGTCACAAAGTATGACACTATATTGCTTAAATGCATGAAATGGAGAAGGAATGAAGAAGGGTTATGAACTGGCTTATCAAACAAGAGGAGCAGTACATGGCACACAGTAATACTTGGCGCTTCAGCTGGAGACAGTGTCTACCTTTCTGAGACTCAAACGGAGTCTTCTCTTATGTGCTCCATTTCCTCTTCATGCAATTTCATCAACAGGAGACATCTTCACCATCATCAATTTCAATCATTTAAGGACAAAACAAGAACTTTACTTCTTTTCAGACATTGCTATTAGATACTACTGATGTCATTTTTGGAGGAACTGAAGAAACTGCAGAACCAGTTACAAAGCAGAGGGAGAGAAATTAGTCAAAAATAGCAGGTTAGGCCAAAGTTTTCTTATTCATTTATGATATGTTTATGTCAACTCAGCTTGGAGGGTGGGGGGAGTGCAACACAGGACAATTTAAAAGTGTTTGCAGCCATATTTGTGAAGTGGTTTTCATTATAAACCCTTATTCGTAAAAAATACAGATTAAAAATTTTCACACTAAGTACACTTTTAGAAATTCTTTTTTACTACTATTACCACAACACAAGTTAAAAACTAGATGAGGTAATAAATCAAAATTTGTTCTCTGAAAGCTCAGCTTTACTTTGAAAAACATAATTTTGTAACGTTTGGAATGAACACCCTAAGTGTACGATTCAAGGTACTACTTAACATCCACTTGATCTCACAGTGAACCTAAATTCAATCTCATTTGTATGAAATGTCCTGGTCATTTCACCAGTTACCCATTTCAAGTGCCCTTAAAAAACAGCTTTTACCACTAGCATTTAAAATTGTTTCACATTCAAAGAAAATTATTAACTCCAACAATTGTATAAACCCATACAATAGCAGCTTTTCACTTGACTGGACTTGAACAATAAACATCACAAGTAACCTTCAGGTAAGAGACGTCGCTTTCATTATTTCTGTTGTAAAGACTTTGAAATTAACAAAAATAAGACTACAGGGAAATAATTAATACATAAAACTACCAAGAAAAAGGAATAAGCTCTTATCTGCATTTACTGGGGATCGTGAAAGATATAAATCACCACAAGAAAGATTTAATTCAGTATTAAAAAAGAACTCTCATGACAAGAGCAGTTAAGCACTATTAAGAAAAACTGACTAGTGAGATTGCATAATTTCTATTATTTGAGGGTTTTATGGATTTCAAAAGCCTAGTGGTACCATCTTTTTCTTTAAATCAGTTCTGACAAACTTCACTAAGCATATTTTATTCAAAGAGGTGGCAGGAAGCTATCCAGTTTGCTGCTTGTGTTAGTTTTCTGCTGTTAGAGTGAACTGAATCAGCAAACACCTGACAAGCATCAGAGATGGCATAGAGGAAGTAGTAACAACATGTGCCCAATGACAGGACTTTTAACCTTCAGCAATAATGAGTTATGTCAATTCACCTCATCTCATAAGACTATATCTTAAAAAACAGATTAAGCAAACAGATTAGACAAACATCTGATAATAACACTGTAAGTACAATTTATCCTTCCTGGGGCTGAGAGGAGTAGACCAGAATTCTCGAGGTCATTCGCTGCACCACTTTACTTAAGTTTTAAAAGGCAACATAGAGCCCATTTTGAATCCATTTAGTGAAACTTTAACAAAACCAAAATTTCACTTAATATATACAGAGATAGATATTTGCCCACTTAGCACTGCCAAAATCAGATATGTCTAATGTAGCATGCATTTACCTCACACGTGTTTCCTATGTAAAATACCGCCTTGCTGAAAGGATAAGCCTAAAACATTTTATGACTCCATCATTTCAGTTTTAATCTCTTAAGTGGGAATTCAATTTTCAAGACCTTACATTTTTTAAGAAAACCTGCTAAATGCGTATTAGCTGTAAAATGTTGGCTGTACATACCAGCTTCTTGAGTACACATCTCCAGTTTTACAACTATTGCCCAAAGTTGGCTGGAGCAGAAGACTGAAAATGACAGACTAGTAGGGGTTCAGACCTCTCTGAACAGCAAGGGAACTGGAATACTCTGAGTCTTACAGAAGACTTGCAAGGAGTTACACAGAATCATTAATGTCACCTCACCGGTGATGCTTTAGTCCATCATTTACACCAGCCTGTAATTGGAGGTCTGGTAGACATTCACATCATATTTCCTTCAGGGAAAGGAAAAAAAACACTTAAAGCCAGCAAAACATAGCTGTATTCTAATAAGAAGTCAAATAATAACAAAGGCTTCCTCACTTAAATATCCTAATTCCTTTTTGTTAATGCATGAACCTAGTTCTTTGGTTTATACAAGCAAAACACTACTTGGTCAAGCACACATATAGTTTCCCTTTTTTACAAGTTATTAAAGCACCTTTTCCTGTAACTCACTAATATACCTGCAGCATATTGGTCGGAAAACAAGGAATCCATTGAGAAGCTTGAAAGTTGGGGAAAAAAAAAAAAACCCCTAATTCAAATGTCAATACCATATTTAATTTGATAAGCTTGTATACACTTCATGCGTCACCTGCTCTGGAGACCATATAGGAAGGATACAACGTATCACCTTGCCCATTTTGACTATTCCTTTTCAGAAAACCATGAATGCTTCAAAGAAGAGAGACTCTTCTCTTATTTGCACAGAACAAAACGTGCTGCATTAGGCTGGACTTTCAAGACAATTTATAAATATGGGAAATTCACCATCACCAACTATAACTCAGAACACGCACTACAAATGGAGAAGATCCCAACCGAGTTGCTACATGGAAAATTAATCTGTCATAAAAGCAAAGTTTTTGTCAATTATTACATTTATATTCGGGGAAGAAAGCATTGTCAACATACGTCCATCTTTGTTTGCCCGCTAATAATTATTCCCATATGCATTCCTGGTCATTAACACAGTATTTTGTTGATTCTTCCTGTCCAAAAATATATGTGCCTAATACTCACACACACACAGAGCTTCACTGCTACCAAACCAGGGACAAAGCCAAGAGTGACTGACAGGTCTATAATTTCTACATATGCATACATGAAGAAGAGCAAGTCATGAAAAAAAAGCAGAATAATGTAATAAGATACACCAAAAATGCACGGAAAAAAATTATCATTACACGTGAAAAGAGCAAAGACAGCATCTTCTGTGAAGACAACATACTTCAGAACACTTAAGGAGACCTTTCAACCTCGATATAGGAAATCCTTAGAAGCCAAAATGGGCTGACTCCCCACCAAAACATGCTTTCCACCATAATTTTCTCCAGAGTCTTCCGCTAGAATATAATTTTATCACTGGGTGCTGGGAAACCATACTAACGCACATTCAGAATTTAGGGCAGTGTTCACAAGAAAAACCTGCCTTTTGTCCTGATAGTTATAATGACCCTTTTCGTAGTATTTCCAACACGATCAGATGAAACTAGATACAGTGCAGTTCATATTGTGACTGATGTAACGTGGGCAGGGAACAATACCATGGAAAAGAAAAAGCCAAGGATCTGTGTCTCCTTCTAGACGGATTGCCAAGTCTCAGTAGTTGGAGGGAGAAAAAGCACAGCATCCCAAATAAAACACTGCAGTGCATGTTCACCATTTCAGCAAAGTCGCTGCAGCTTTAGGCAATCTCGTAGGAAATTTGGACCCCTCAAAGAAAGCCCAAGCTAAAAAAAAACAAAAAAAAAAGACAGAAAACAGCCCTAGCTTAAAAATTGTAGAAGAAACAAATAATCCACTGGTTGTGGAAAGAAAGCCCAAGGAGCTCACCAATCGCATCGCAACCAATACTACAGAGATAAGCTCGGCAATAACCAGCCATAAATCTATTAAATGCTGTATCTTCTCGCCGCCGCCGCCGCCGGTGTTCGGGCGCAGGCGGGCAAGGGCTGCGGGCCCGGTGGTGGTGCCTACCTGCGAGAGCTGCCGGGGGTTGGGGCAGCCGAAGAGCGCGGAGCTGGAGCTGAAGCTGATGGCCCCTCTGCGGCTGAGGACGTGCTGCGGCACCGGCCTGTCCAGCGGCAGCACGGGCAGCTGGTAACATACTTCCATTGACGAAGCCTCGGTGCGCCGGCCCGCCGCGGGGCAGCGGCCTCGCCCGCCGCACCTGCCCGCGCAGGGCTCCCCGCAGCGGGGAAGGGCCGGCGGCGAAGCCCCGCGGGGGCCCGGCGCCTCCTCGCCGCCCC